GTTGCCAGGTAACACATGACGCTTAGGGGGAGGCGTAGGCGCACCTGCAAGGGAGGAGGGTCCCTGGAGCTTGCTGCTAGCCTCTGCCCTCTGAGCGCCCAGCCCTCACCGTCACCCTGCCAGGTGCCCCTCTGAGAGACCCCAAGCCCTAACACCAACATCCCCACTCTTTTGATACCGGAAATTGCTCCCAGGGTTCCACCACTCACCTACACCCCCCCCCCCCCCAGCCTTCTTTTTTCTTTTTAACCTGTTTGAAATTTCAAGACTAAGCCAGGCAAGCCGGTGAGCTCCCTGAGTACTGAGGACGGTCTGGCTTCTACCACCAGTTCTTGTCCCTGGCCCTATTCAAAACTCAAACCTCAAACGTGGAGGCTAGGACATCCACCCGGGTGCAGGATCCCAAGAACACAGCACACACCCTCCTGCTACGAGCCTGGGCATCACAGACCAGCGCTGCCAGTCACCTCCAGCCCTGGCAGATGCCACTCTGCCCCCCTCTCCCTCCCTGCAGAGGCCTCCACAGGATCTTGTGTAGGCAGACTTGCCTATCAGGGCTTGTGTTGTCTTCTGAAGTTGTGGGACGTCGCTCGTGTTGCTCTGAGAGTCCTCAGGAGTGCTTTTCTACGCTTGTGTGGTAGTCCACCCTCTGTTCAACGACAGCCCGTCTGTCAATGGTTCGGCCTGCGTTCATGCTGAGATAACAGACTACCGCCAACGTCCTTGCTCCTGGGTGGGTAGGTCCTCAGGTTGGCTGGGGTCTCCTCCCTGGCCCTTTCTCCCAGGTGTCTGCGTCTGGGGAAGCCTTTGTGGAAGGAGTGAAGTGGGTGACCAGGAAGAAAGACCCATTGCACAGTTGGGCAAACCCTGCCCCTGCTTTGGGAAGCTTCTAGATGTCTGTGAAATTAAGACTAAGCCAAGTTGCTGTGCTTGGCCTGATGTGGAGGGCTGCCCACCCCATCCCCGGGGACCTGCCCACTTCCTTGGGCAAGCATCTGCTAAGGGCTGGGTTGTGCTTGATTGCCGAGGGTGCAGAAGGGAGAGACCGCAGGGGACAGACAGGTAAGGATGCAGGAGACAAACACCTGGAGGTCGTGAAGACGGTTATGAATGATGGAGAAGGCCACAGCAGGTATAGTGCTAACAGTGATGGAGGGAGGGCGGCTTCTAGAAGGGTAGCCACAGGAGCAGGGAGACTCCTCAGTCAGCAAGGCACTTTGCACACTAGCATGGAGACCTGAGTTCAATTCCCGGAACCCATATAAAATGCTGGGTACGGCTGCACACTCCTGTAATGGCGTTGTTGGGGAGGAAGAGACGAGTGAGTCCCTGGATGGCTAAATCGGAAATCTCTAGGTCACCTCAGAGATTTCTACCTCTGCAAGGCAGAGAGTACCTGCAGAATGACCTCTGAGGTTGACCTCTGATCTCTACACATATGCACCCCCGAGTACGTGAACCTGCATACCCACACCCACCGACACCTGCTTCCCTCCCACATGGAAGGGTGCTCAGGACAGACCTCTCTGAGGGGAGGACCTTTGGGTGCACCTGCTGAGGGAGGGTCCCGTGCATAGGGGTCAAAGCGTTTTCTGCAGGGGGTGAGGTGCAGGGCAGAGGCTCATGCACAGGGCACCCCAAGGAGCATCCAGCACTAGGAACAGGCAGAGCTCTGCGGCCACAGGAACAGGCTGGGGGGGTCTTATGTGGGCTCAGCTCTTGGCCCCACTTTTCACCACTGAGACCCGAATCCTTGACACATTCCTAGCAGAGGAAGGTTTATTTTGGTTCACAGGCCATCGTGGCAAGGAAGACGTGGTGACAAGAGTGGGGGCAGCCGGTCACATGGCGACATCCACAGTCGGGGAGCAGAGAGATGGACACTGGCACTTAGCTGGCTCCCTCTTTTTATTCAGCCCAGACCTCCGGCGTGGGGTGATGCCTCCATGTTTAAGCTTCCCATCTCAGGCAACCCCTGGCAGTCAGAGCCCACAAAGATGGATGCCCTTCCATGCTGGCTGGGGACGGAGAGCTAGGGACTTGATGGCTCTGGACAGAATCACCCTGGGAACCTGCTGCAAGGTCAGGCTCATCTATCAGCCCCCACTGGTGGATTCCTAGGATTCCTGTCGCTCTCTGTCTCGGTTAGGAGTAATGTGAGGAGCCAACGGAAGGCAAGCCGAGGAAGTCCTTAGATCAGAGGTTCTCAACCTATGGGTCATGACCCCTTTGGAGGGGGGGTTAATGACCCTTTCACAGGGTTGCCTGAGACCACTGGAAAGTACATAGCAGCAGCAAAATTACAATTATGAAGTGGCAACAAAGTAATTTTATGTCTGGGGGGCGCACCATGGCGTGAGGACCTGTGTTAAAGGTCACAGCATTAAGAAGGTTGAGGACCACTGGGATAGATCAAATTGTCCCACGGACATGTCTGCAGGGGATGGTCTTGATTGCTAATGGATGAAGGAAGGGCCCCGTCCACTGTGGGCAGCAACATTCCCTAGACAGGTAGGTGGTTCTGGACTGTAGAGAGACAACCACGCAGAGGCCAGAGCAAGGCAGCTGGCGCGCCCCGGCTTTGTTCCCTCGACGGCCGCCTGAGCTCCACGGCCGCCTGAGCTCCACGGTAGGAGCTGATTCCGTGCGCCCCGAGTTCTTGCCTCGACTTCCCTCCACGACGAACTGTGACCCAGAAATGGGAGATGAAATAGACCCTTGCCTCCCCTGTGTTGCTTTTGGTCAGTGTTTGTCACAGTGACGGGAAGGAACCCAGGAGCCTAGGCCACCCTCCCCCCCTCAGGGTGGCAAGACTGAAAGAGCCACACTGTACGCACAAGGTCCCCGGGTAAACCGTCTTTCCGAGCACCCGCGGCCTGGGTAAACCGTCTTCCCGAGCACCAGCGGCCTGTGCTTTATGACTCCCGAGATACCCTCAGTTTCATTGCTTTTGAGATTCCCCTTTTGCATGCGTGCCTGGCGGGTGGATGTGCGTCCCTGAGAGCGTTCCATTGTGCCTGGGAACCGATGGCTCCGCTCAGACAATATCTACAGCTTTGAGGTTCACTGAGTTCCCACGTGTGAATATTTTTGGCCTCTTCTCGGTTCTCTGGGACAGTTCATTAAAAAAAAATTCTCATTCTGCTTTGTAAAAGTTGCTCCCATTCTGACGAGAGCCAACTGCTTCTTTTTTTTTTTTTTAGTTTTTAATCTTAAACGCTTTTCCTCTTTATTGGATGATTTTCTTTTTCCTTTCTTTAACCAAAGAGTGCTTTGTCGAGGAGTGGTCTCTGCCTGTGTGTCCCGTCTGCCAGCATGACTTTCCCACATCATGGGTGATATTTCCTGCACAACAAAAGGCCTCTGGGCTTGTGCTGAGTGGCGTTCATTCGCTGGCTTTAGAGGACATGAAGGAGCAGAGGGCTCTTTATCCGTCTGCTCCCCACACCTACAGCAACAGTTAACATGGTCCCAGGCCTTACAGAGGAGGGAAAGACCACCTGCTCCCATGGTTCCCCAGAAACTCCCTCATAGGCCCATCCTAAGTGGCTTCATTATCCATCTCTGCATCCATTAGCTCCCACCCAGCCAGCCAGCCAGCAGCCCTCCCCTTAGATCCTTCCCTACAACCTGCTGGTTCAGCTCCCCAGATGCTGGAAAAGCCAGAGTCCCTGGACGAGTAAAGTGAGCTGAGCCAGGGAGAGACTGGTCTGAGCTCTAAGCGGTGAATGGTACAGCCGCGGCCATCTAAGCTGATAAATGCCGGCTGCCTCTGCTTCCTGACAGACAGCCGTTCCATCAGGAACGGTGTCCCCACCCTGGAGGAGTCTGTGATGAGAAGTGCCCGTGCTCTGAAGGCTGCACCCCCAGCACATGGGTGGTGTGGTCTTTACTTTCCTCACTGATTTGATAGATGCCTGACTAGTAAGACGGGGTGCATTTCGGCTCGTTGATGGCACAGTGAGCCAGGGTGGAGAGGTTGGGGTGGACAGGTTAGGGTAGCAGGGAAGTGAGGCAGCTGATGGCCCCGTGTCCACAGTCAGGAAGCAGAGAGGGGTGAATACTGGTGCTCTGATCCTTGTCTCCTTTTCCTCTTGTTAGGCATTGATTTATTTGTGGTATGTGTGAGTGTGTGTGTGTGTGTGCCTGTGTGTGTGTGCATGTCTGTGTGTGTGTGTGTGAGTGTGAGAGTGTGAATGTGTGTATCTGCATGTCTGCTTATGTACATGTCTGTGTGTGAGTGTGCATGTGTGTGAGTGTGCACGTGTGCACGTGAGTGTGCATGTCTGCTTGTGTGTGCATGTCTGTTTATGTGTGTGAGTGTGCATGCATGTGCATGTCTGTGGGTGAGTGTGTATGTGAGTGTACATGTATGTGTGTGCACGTGTGTGCGTGTGTGCATGCATGGACATGCAGAAGACAGAAGGCCATTTGATTTGTATGAGTTGGGTCTCTACCTTTTACTGTGTGAGTCCTGGAGATCAGACTCTAGGCTTGACGACAAGGGACTCCACCGCCTGAGCCATCATTTGGCACTCCTGTTTCCTCTTGTTTATCCTAGAAGCCCTGGCGTGGAGTGTTACACACACATTTGAGCTAGTCTCAAGGGTGGGCTATGCCATCCAGGGAGAGGTGCTGCCCACACAGGGTTAGACATGTCTGAAGGAAAAGGAGATCATGTGATGGAAAGGGGAGAAGGCAGGGGGCACCTCCATCCTACTCCACGGAGTGTCATCCTTTGTCATGCATCAGGGAGGCCTCCAGTGGCCATTCTTCATACGTTTCTCAGCAAATGCTACTGAGTCTCTTCTGTGTGCAGGGACGTTCTCTTGCTGATTGATCAAGGAGGCAATTCCCAGAAACAACCAAAAGGAGTACCACTAGATCTAGACTTGGCAGTCCTTACAGGTTGAATAGTTTGTTTGTCCATTTTTCACTGCTATAACAAAATGCCTGAAGCTATTAAGAGAAAAAAATGGTTCATTTGCTTAATGGTCCCT